ACACTCCCAGCCACACCCCATAGTACACTCCCAGCCACACCCCATAGTACTGACCCAGCCACACCCCATAGTACACTCCCAGCCACACCCCATAGTACTGACCCAGCCACACCCCATAGTACTGACCCAGCCACACCCCATAGTACTGACTCAGCCACACCCCATAGTACTGATCCAGCCACACCCCATAGTACTGACCCAACCACACCCCAGCCACACCCCATAGTACTGAGCCAGCCACACCCCATAGTACTGACCCAGCCACACCCCATAGTACTGACGCAGCCACACCCCTGCTATACTGACCCAGCCACACCCCATAGTACTGTCACAGACACACCCCATAGTACTGACCCAGCCACACCCCAGCCACACCCCATAATACTGACCCAGCCATACCCCATAGTACTGACCCAGCCACACCCCATAGTACTGACCCAGCCACTGCACACCTCATAGTACTGATCCAGCCACAGATCTGGCCATTCCTTGTGTTACTGACCCAGGCCTCTGATGTTCCGGACCTGTTGTTCGAACAAAGTTTTAAGGACAGCTCATATTTCCGCTGTCAGGTTCTCTACATGGACGGGATCCGCTACTTTCCTGACGAGTTTGAGGACATCACGGACCTGATGGTGGAGAAGGAGGTGCGCATGCGCGCGCCAACGGAGGAGATCGAGTTGCTTCTACACAACGCAGCTATCGAAGAAGAACCCAGCAATGCCAAAGAGGAAGCCGGCAATGTGGGAGATGAAGTTAGCAATGCCAAAGATGAAGCTGACAATGTGGGAGAGGAAGCTAGTAATGTGGGAGAAGAAGCTAGCAATGTGGGAGAGGAAGCTGGCAACACTGACAATGCAGGAGAGGAAGCTAGCAATGTGGAAGAGGGAGCCAGTAATATGGGAGAGGAAGCTGGCAATGTTGGAGAGAAACCCAGCAATGCCAAAGAGGAAGCCGGCAATGTGGGAGAGGAAGCTGGCAATGTGGGAGAGGAAGCTGGCAATGTGGGAGAGGAAGCTCGCAAAGTGGGAGAGGAAGCCAGAAATTCGGAAGAGGAAGCTGGCAATGTGGAAGAGGAAGCTGGCAATGCTGACAATGCATTAGAGGAAGCCAACACTGCTGGCCATCCACGAGAGAAAGCTAATCAATGCTAGCAATTTTGCAAGAGGAACCCAGTCATGTAAGAGAAGCTTCCCTGCAGTGCTGGAGGGAATGCGAGAGCGATTTCCAGTGATAAAAGAGACGTGTGAAGTCCCAGAGACACTGCAGAGGAAGCTAACAACATTAGAGTAGACAAAAAAGAGGTTGTAGAGGAAACCTAAGATGAATGTGGTAAAAGTTAAAGATGTCATGTGTGATTTTTTCACTTGCTGCAAGCTAATGCGTTAGGTGTAGTTGTCATCTAAGAGCAAGGTAGTTCAGCAAGGTATAGCAGGGCGTTGTCATCGTAAATCTCAAGCTCTTTTGGTCTCAGCTCTACCTACGACCTGTTGTAAAGTTTGCTATATTATGCAGGGGCCCGTTGTCAGAAAACAAATTAGTCTTAACATTAGTCTTAACATAAACTTTTTTCTCTTAGACTGTCGACAGAAACGCTGCGAAGTTACGAGAATGAAAAATCGTAGCAGATTTTCTCATAACAATACGAAACAAAGTGCTGTCGATGGTCTACGAGAAAATGTTAGTGTTAAGACTAATGTTAAGACTAATTTTATTTCTGGCAACTGGCTCCAGGTGGCTATGTAACGTTGTGTACGCCATACAACACAGATAAGCTAGAAAACGATGACGACGCAATATTTTGTTACAAATAAACGTTTGATATGAATTTTATTTTAACATGAATCAATTTGCAATATACATAGCAATGTTTTTCTATTGGTCATACGCTTGATATGAGTTTGCATGCATTCACATTCTTGAGCCATCTGCGTTAGATGCTCTATTATTTACAAATCGCACACATTTACCCCTCATGCAGTTTGATACAACCGAGGAAAACTGCTGTTGCAGTATTTACAATTATTTATCTACAACATCTCACATACAATAAGAAGACTAAAATCGATTTAAATACATACACCTTCTTAAGGAAAACCGCTGAAACTACATGATAACTAAATACAAACCTCTAACGTGATTATACCATTGTCGTAAACTGTCTGCATTGGCAAGATTGCCCACACCATTTTAAGTCCATTCGTATTTCTTATATCGAACTTGGAGTTGCGTGAGGCGATAGACATTGACAGCAAATGGTCACCTTGTTACGAGCGCCATTATCTAGCATTTACACTGGTTCCAGCTCCAATATCATATTATGTTATTGATTCAAACCCTACAACTTTTACTTAGTGACAGTGACCAAAGTGCTAATGTGGCGAACGCTCGTTCGCAAACTTTTAACGACATTGAGTCGGAGCTAATTTCAAGTGATGAAACCTGTTTGAGCTCACATCTTGCTGCCAAGCAATTTGTCATCCGTAATTAATTTATGCAACATCTGTTGACTTGCTCTAAGTAGACCAGCGAAAGTTCTGACATGTAAAGAGAAGGCTTCTAGCACTTCATCAAAAATCATCCACGATGAAAAAATGCAAACACGTTTTTATCTGACGTCGTCCGCGAATCGGAATAAATTTAATACTGTTAATATTTACGTACGTTCTCCTCTTTAATTATCGAATTAAAATCCACACTTTGCTAGAAAGTCTGTAATGTACTGTTAATATTTACGAACGTTCTCCTCTTTAATTATCGAATTAAAAGCCACACTTCGCTAGAACGTCGCTGGCAGAGTTATTCTTGGGTTTTACGTACAGACCAACGGGAGACAACATTGATAGTGAGCTATATCAATATGCATAAACGCGAATATTCATTGACTTGATTAGATTGTTTAACTTGGCTGCGCACACACTGGTTGTGTCAATACGAGCTGCTAATACACGCAAACATGAGATTATGGCAATGTTTCGGCCGAAAATAAACGCTTGGGTAAATGTATGACCAAGCCGGTACACTACTTCCAAGCAGATATTAAGGAAAATTTTCTGAAACCTGAATGTAACTTCCCCCATTTTGGCTTTTACGTGGGAAATCTACGACAGACGTGAAACCCTTCTCCCTCTGCGCCACTCCAGCGGTTTGTCTTTCTCTCTCTTTGTGTATTTCTTTTTTCATAGTAATAAAAATCCGACTCCGAGATGAGACACAACCCCACAGTGATGTGATTACGGTGTACTCAGCCTGTAATAATATATATTATAGTAATATAGTATATAATATATCATATATTATCATATAGGGTAGTCCGGAGTGTCATAATATATTATAGTAGATTCTAGAATACGCCACCTAGTTCGGTTGGGCACACAGCAAAGCACTTCAGTCAGAAACGAAAACAGCAACACACTTCGCAGCAGAACAGGGAGAAAATGAACAGTCAAATCCGGATTTCTCTGTTCCACACTGCCCACGCCCCACGCCACGCAGAAAGCACGTGATCGCTCCTGCCCTCTGACTGCATTAGGGTGACGTCATAGTTTGGGCGCATAAAATGGATGGCGGCATCCATTGTGCTTTGCTTCGCTTTCACAAATTTTTTGTGGAAGATACCTTTCTGACCACGTCGTCGCGACCCATTTCCGAATCCAATTCGACCTCACTTTTGGGTCGCGACCCATAGTTTGGAAGCGCTGCCTTAGGCACTGGATAGTATATGGAAAAAGTTTGGTGCTTTTATCCGGCATGTCCCCATCTTTCTCAAATCCGGCCCTAAGCCACCTGACTACTAGGGCAAGTAGTGCACTATCATATTTCATTGACTGAAACAATGGCATAATGCTGCCAAAATTCTTTCATATAAAAATTGATGGTAGATGGCGCTTTTGAGAGAGGCATTTTAAAGATTAGGATAATATTTTAAAAATAATAAATATAATGGAAAACAATA